TTTTGTGCATTCATTTGCTCCACATTTGAGTCATTCTGAAGACCTTCCGACTGTTCATCATTGGAATCGTCTTTCTTTCCACTCTTATCCAAAGTATTGCTGTGTCTGGAGATGGCATTCAACACAATACAACATTAGCACAAACTATCAAATCAAACAACCTTTTAGTGACCACTCATTCACTAACGAACCCATAAATGGTCAATAAATGTACAAAATATGTGTAAATATCTCATTTAATTAGTTGTAAAAAGTTTTATAAAACTTATAAACCATTAAATATTGAATAAAATGCAAATATGTGAGAAATACTGAAAGCCGGTACAGTTAGCCGTAAGAGTCCGGTATAACTACCGGTACTATAAACCCTTGTCAACCCCTGCTAACCCGATGCCTATATGTGCGACAAATGAAGTAATTTGCGGTCAAATGTGCAGTGAATTGCAGACATGGATACAGTGTTGGACAGAGTGTATGGCGATTGGTGTCTAACATATCATATGATAACTAACTCTAACTCCAAGTGAATGCAAAAGCAGTGCATAACTGTCAGCAAAGTGTCAGCAAAAATCGTAACGTATTTATGAGTCAATCATTGGTTACCTCTTAAGGAAATGTGTCTTCACTTTGTCGATGGTATCAAATCTCTTGGCGCAGAACCGACACGAATACATCGTTAGCATCACTTCCACCGCTTCGGCGATCACTAAGTCTGTTAACAAATGAATGGACCGTTAATGATCATCAAATTGTACTCATGAGGCATATAATTGGTGCCAAAAGTGGACACAAGAGGCTGTCGACGGCATTCATACCATCGCTTTGTTGCTCAACAGGGGCTTCGGCTTCGTTGCTGTCGTCCATTGTCTGTTGCGATCACTTCTTGTGTGCCAATTGATGGTAAATCACCGAAAATCAACTAATTTCCACTTTTTTGGTCACAAAATGCCCAAAAATAATAACAGTTTATTTGTGCTTTCATTTTACTATCTATTTTGCCACTCAAGTACCGCTTAACGCACTCAACATATGAGCACTATTTTATACACACATTACTCTAATTTTCATTATAGTCATATTGTCCTAAAAAGGGACAAAGGTTCGAATACAATTGGGCCATTATGTTGAATATATGAATTTATAATGCATTTTGATTGGATTATTATTTTCATACTGGCATTCAATGGGATGTTTGGCGCATATTTTCAAAGTGTAGACAATATTGAATAGATTGATGACTATATTTGCAACTTAATTACTTTATTTAATTATATTTAATAGTTAATATGATAATTAAATATTATGAATATATGGTAATTAATTGAAAGTAAAATTGGACAATTATGAAAATGCAATATGAATAATAAAAATATGAATATTTTGATTAATTCCTGATTGTGTAGTGAATTATTAATAACTGTTGAATCGACAGCTATTGCTAATGAACTTATCTACTTTTTTACTGTATGATAGCCTGAAACTTTTTAAAACGTGATATGAATAGTGAGCAAATCACAAAATTTCATATCAAATCATTTCAAAATTGTTCAAGGCTATTATTCTATTTAAAAAGAACTTGATTAGAATGTGTTTATTATAAAATGAGATATATTCTTACGTTTATTTTAAAGTGTTATATTTGAGAAATGATTTTTGTAACTACATAAAACTTGGTTAATTATATAAAACTACTAAGCTTGGTTAATTATATAAAACTACTAAGCTTAGTCATGAATGTTGACAAATATTTTGACGATAAAGTAGTTTTAGTGACCGGAAGTAACTCAGGAATAGGAGAGTCAACTGTTTTACTGTTCTCTTCATTGGGGGCTAAAGTAGTGGTGACGGGAAGGGATGGCAACAAGAATGAAGTGGTGGCCAATAAATGCCAACAAATATCACCCAACAATC